CTCTTTCAGGTACAGGTTCACGTAACCCAGTGCCCAATTGTATCTCATTCGCGGACGAATATATTCCAGGGATTTGTGCGGTACAACGTAGATTCAACTGGCCGTTCGTATAGTAAAATAGTTGAAGTGGTAGACTGAGGGCGATCCACTGTTGTTGCTGATGCTGATGCTGCTGCTGCTGCTGCTGCTGCTCGCTGGAAACTCCAGTGCCCTCTCTACGATGATCTCGTTTCTGCTGTTCGTGTTCCTCCTGATTCTTCGAGATCGCTGCCACCTGCGGGAAATCAAGATGGAAATCAAGATGGAAATCAAGCGTGAATTTAAACTTGAAGATTTTCGATGCCAACCCAATGGCAGGAACCGTCATTTGAAAACCAGGGAGAACCGAACATTTTGCTTTTGCGAACAACCACGAGAAAACGTTTATGCGAACGAGAGAAGTCGGCAAAAAGGCGACGCAGTGAAGTCAAGGAAATGTAAATCTGCTTTTAACGAAATCCTTTCATCTGGAATCGACTCCCTCGTCGGCTATTTTCTCTTTACTTCCAAGCACAAAGCCAACGCCATCTTACTCCGACGAATAAGAGTCTTTCATGCTAGCTTCACCCTATACTACTACTACGCTGTTGTTGCTGCTACTACTACTACTACTACTACTACTACTACTACTAATACTTACTACTACTTATTCTATCTCTTTCTAGACCTTAGAAATCCTCATTTTCAAGCTTTACATTCCCATTTACGTACAATAACGTTCTCATGTCAGCTACGAAGATCGGACTGGTTCGACGAAACAATCCAATCCGTACGAATTCTAAGTTTCTTAATGTATCCGCATTCTGCATCTTGTTCTTGTCATTATTGAAATGACAAAGATAGCCGATGTTATAAGTGAGTTAGTCATTACGAAAGAGACGTAGAATATTCTTGAAAATTAATTTTCCTCGAATAGCTTTTCTCCTTTCAAAAATTACTTATCAACTGTATACAACTAAAGGGAATAATGATAAAACTATCCTCTTGTAATACAATCCGATTTAATTTCCGACGATCAAAAGAAACCACATTGAAGGCCGTAAAAATGATTTCTATGAAAAAGGGAGGACACATTTCGAGGATCCAGTTTCTCTAACAAGAATGAGACTTTCGAGCCAGTCTCGTTTTCTCTCGTTTCACGAGGGTTCATGTTATGAACAATCCTACGATTTGTCAACCGGAAGATCCGTCACTGACTTTCCCTTCTTTTTTCTACCTTTTTTCGTCATTTATGTATGTATATATATATATATATATATATATATATGCGCCTTTTCGTTTCAAAATACGGCAATGCGACGATTATAGTTATGCACGCTTGAACATTCATAATAGAGCCTAAAAAAAAATTATGATCATATAATATTTTAACGAGCATATAATTATTATAATATCATTGATCGTAGGTCGGAATATTTTTTAATAGTTTTATTTATTTATTTATTTACTTATTTATTTCTATTTTTTTTTTGTTCAAAATTTTCAATCCTACGTTAATTACGTCTAAATATAAGTTATTATATTTAAGCTTAATTTATCCGTATATATAGCTTGTTTTATATTAATTTACAATTTATTCGCTGTATCAATTTTCATTTATTTACTGTTTATTTCGCAATCTCAGTCATTTATTGATTTTATGATATTTTATCCTTAATGATATACTTATTTCTATTTGTATAATAACGTTTAGTAATTTTTTTATATATTGTATATATGTGCAATAAGAATAATTATAAATAAAAAAATGAAAGAGGATATAAAAATGAATATCGTATGAGCGACGATTGTTTAAATTGTTATTTTATTTATTGATTATTATATATTGAGTTTTACAATTTTTTTACTTCTTTATTTTTTCTTTTTTTTTTTGTAAGAAACCTTTATCGAATCGTTAACATTTATAAAAATGTTAACATTTTCTAAATGCTATCACGCGTTAATGAAAATGCTAATCAATTACTTTAAATATGTTAGATATTATTTTAGAATAATTAATTTCTTTCGAATCGGGATATTATTTTAGAATGATTAATTCCATTTTTTAGTGTTTCATACGTTTTATTAATTTTTTTACGGTTAATTAAATTTTTATTAATTAGTTTATTAACATTTTTGTTTTTTTTCTTTCTTTTTATACTGTAGGTAAAATCTGATGGGTTTTTTCTTATTAGTTTCCCTTTGATCCTAATTCCGTACTTTCGCAGCCAGTTAATCAGTATGCTCTATTAATTTTGTCCTTATATCTTTTTATATGCATCATGATTTTTTTTTCCTTTCCGAGGAAAATTACCTCGCTTCCGAACTACCATGGTGTATAGGTATTTGCACCGATCTAAAAATGATCGCCAAAAGATAATTAATCTTAACTATGTGAAATTTTTTCCTATTATACATCATAGCAATATTGTAATAGATCCAAATAGATTTTATTATCGTTCTGTAAATTCATTTATTTCAACGCTTTTTAATCCTTATATTTTCAGTCATTGATTTAATATTTTTTCTTTCTTTTCATATATATATATATATATATATATATATATATATATATATATATAAATTTAGTATTTTAATCATAAGTTTAAACATTTTATGTATGTCATGAAAATTCAAATAAGGTAAGCTAGATTTTCCTTAAAAAGAAAAAAAGAAGAAAAAAAAAGAAAAGAAAAAAAAAAAAAGAAAAAAAGAAAGAAAGATGAGCCTGAAAATATAAGATAATATTGACTAAAAAAATATTCAAAATTATTACGTAGATATTGTTATCGTTTGAAAATTTCTTACATCTCAGATATTTCTCCATCCTGAAGAATATTATTATATCAAATTATTTCCTATTCTAATCTGTTAAATATATTTTTTCCTATAAAATCGTAAAAAAAAAAAAATAGAAACACACAAAAAAAGAAAAAGAAACCATCAGCTACTTAATTGAAATCATTTATTATTATTATTATTATTTTTTTTTTCCTGGAAAATATTACGTTTTAAATAATTATTTTTCTTCTGATATCAGAGGATAAAGGAAATTTTTGTATGGCAGGTGATTATTTCATAGGAACGAACGAGGGAATGAGAGAAAATTCGAAAACGGGACACGACGGAGCGCATAAAATTTAATCTCAAGAGTAAAGCGGATGAAAACGATTATACTCGTCTTGAATACAGTTTACGAGGAAAAGCAGGAAAAGCAGGAAAGGGTTCACTGTGTCTCTAAGTGACGTGGCCTTTCTTCTAGAATATCCTCGGGAAAGCACCGCGGAAAATCGAGAAAATGTTTCCCTCGTGAGAGATTAGGTGAGACGTCGACGATGGGAATTGAAAGAGAGAGAGAGAAAGAGAGAAAGAGAGAAAGAGAAAGAGAGAGAGAGAGAGAGAGAGAGAGAGAGAGAGAGAAGAGGGTTATAGGAGGGTTGAGAGGGCGTTGGCAAGGTGCGAACACGAAGACGACAGTGATGCAACAACAACGTTGGAAGACAGAGTTCAAAACTACCAAAGTCACTCAATGACAAAGGTGAGTTCATAGGGAGGACTGAGTAACAACCAATACTTTATCTTTCGGTAAGTTTAAATACAATTCGAGAGGAGAATAAAGTTGATTCCAAATTTTCTAGGTGGATCTTAAAAATCAATTTTCTCTTTCTCAAGAGGACCTTTTCAGATTAATTTTTTTCTTTTCTTTTTTTTTTCTTTTCTTTTCTTTTTTCTTTTTCCTCCTTCAAATTATCAACAAATTTCTAACGCTTACATTAATGTGTTTACAAATATGAAAAGAAGAAAAAAAAAAAAATAAATGAAAAAATAAATAAATTAGTCGAAAAAGTGTCGTTATATTAAAAATCAAATGATTGATCTTTAAAAGCAACCTAAAAATTTTGGTGCCCATATTTTGTATTTATTGAAAATAATCGAGTAAATTTTTATTATTTTTTTTTTTTTTTTTTTTTGAACTTGCCTCGCTATAACTTTTCTTTTATTTATTCGTTATAAATAATAATTTCTTCTCATTGGCAACGTTGATTTGATTTGTTTTTCTTTCTCTCTTTTTCTTTTTTTTTTTTTTTCGTTTCAACCATCATTTTAATCGCTCACGTATTCATATACAGATACACACACATATATATATATATATATATATATATATTTTGAAAGCAATTTACAATAAAGTTGTTTTTTGCTTACTCATTTTGTTAACTATTTAAATTAAAAGTCGACGCTAATCTTATAATGTATAAAAATCAATATATAACGTAATCTTTTAAAGGTACCTATTATTCGTAAAACAAAAACAAAATTTCAATTACTTTAACCAATTCAATGATTGCACGTGATCAATTAAAATAAGATTGATCGATTAAATACATACGTACAACAATACATCTCAAAACATAATAACTTTATATATTTTACGATGTATTACCTCAAATTAGAAAATCTGGTCTGAGAAAAAAAAAAAAAAAAGAAAAAAAAAAAAAAGAAAAAAGAAAAAGAGAAATTTCTTGAATTATATCTCCAAAATTCTTCCATCGAATTATTTTTATAATGCATTCACATCCTAATGTATTTTCTTCTTTTTTTTTTGTTTTTATTTTTTTTTTTTTTTTTTTTTTTTTTTTTTTTTTTTTTTTTTTTTTTGTCAGTGCATTAAATAAAGCACTGAACGTTATGAGAGTCACAGAAAAGCTCTCGATATTTTCTTCTTCCACGAATGGTGAATGTCGAGAGGTAATGTCGTGACACGACAGAATAAAAGGAATTGTAATTAGAAGAGACGAATAAGAGAGAAGTAGGAAAGAGATTGTGGAACAGAGACAGACTAAGAGAGAGATGGAGAGAGAGAGAGAGAGAGAGAGAGAGAGAGAGAGAGAGAGAGAGAGAAGGGGGGGAGAGGAGACTAGAAGAGAAAGCAAAGACGCGACCACTTAGAAATGCAGGAGGTCTCGCGCAACGAGTTGGGGTAAGCGCAAACGAGCTACGCCTTCGAAGGTTAAACCCGGTGTGTACCGTTCAATTAGAGAAAACCAAGAAAACGATTCAACCGTGTTACGTCTTGGAGCATGCACGGTTTGAATGCAAGTTCGAACTTCAAGGAGAAGGTGCAGCTGAGGAGGAGTTCGAGTTTAGTCAGAACGGGAGGAGAGTAAAGAGAGAATGAGATTCTTCGAAGGTAGAACTGAAGGAACGAAGCCTGAGAAAATGTATAGCGAGTGAGAGGTAACTAAATGGGAATAT